TCACTGTCTTATATTTTGTTCTTAGAAGAAGGGGCATAAAACAAAAATCAGTCACAAGGCAAGACTATATTATGGGTGAGCTAGCAGAGATGGAGACTATATTGGGGCAAGAAGGAGCAAATGTATAAACATCCTATGCAGATGGAGCTTTCACAGAAGGCTGTTTACTGAAATGATTGAAGAAGGACATATGTATGAAGGAGCCCAGAAAGCCTGTGGCAATGGCATCATTTAAATGAGCACATCAGATAGAGCTAAGGGCAGAATACTCCAAGCAGAGGGAACTGTGGAAAAAGCATAGAGAGCATGCATACATGAAGCAGAGACCAAGGTAGTGGTAGGAGTGGTGAGAGAAGTAGGTCCTTAAGGGTTCCTTATTCACAGGCAGACGAAGAAGAAGAGGAGGAAGAGGAGGAGGAGAATAGGAGAAAAAAGAGGGGAGGAGGAGGAGGAGGAGAAGAAGAAGTGCTTTGCTTTTTACTCTTGAGGGCAAGGCCAGGGTTACCCATGAGAGTGGTATTGTCATCACTGAGGCACACAGGAGGATGGTGGCCAGAGAGTAAGGGGATAGTGGGTGATGGCGGGGATAGAGAAAGCGCTAGAAGAGAAAGTCTTGAAGCTTTAGATCCAGGAGACCTGGGACAGTAAGAAAGGCTTCAATTTTCCTCGCCCTGTGCTTTTGCTCTGTTGCTAAATCATGAATCTGAGCCAACCCCAAAGGGAACCTGTAGAGTAAATTGAAGTGGGGAGGAGGTAAGTGAATAGAACTAAGGAGTAGGATGGATGGAGCCCTGCATCCAGCGTTTACTTGCTAGTGGCTCTTCAAGTGGTCCCCATCACAGCAAGCGGCAGGGTAACCCAGGATGTGTGTCTTAAATCAAGAAAGTGTAGGCCTCAAGAAGGAAATCAGGCTAATGGACACCTGCTGTGGGTTTTGTAGACAACTAAGGTATGTAAGTGGAGGGGAGTCCAATAGTCAGAAACCATGAGTCGACTTCCTGTAAGCCACTAAAATTGGGTTCCCCCCCCTCCTCTCTCTCTCTCTCTCTCTCTCTCTCTCTCTCTCTCTCTCTCTCTCTCTCTCTCTCTCTCTCTCTTCCCAAAGGGATAGAACTCAGTGCAAGGCCTTGGCCATAGTGATAAATGTCACATAGAAATGAGTCTATCTTCCAGTGAGCCCCTTGGGTTCTGCAAAGAGGGTACTGCTGTGGCGGTTATAAAGATAAGTCATTGCAACGCTCCAAATATCCTATTTTATGAGTAGGACTTCTGGAAAATAGAGAAATTCATGAAGAATAAAATACAAACTCAGGGTCTAATGGTGAGGTTTAGTAGTAAGACATTGACTTAGCATGAATGAGGCCCTAGGTTGAATCCTGCACACACACACACACACACACACACACACACACACACACACACACACCAAAGTCAACAACAAAAAACCCTGAAATTCTGCTACCCAGTGGTAATAATAGCTCCTATTTTTTTTTATTTTAAAAGTGAGAGCTACATTTTACATTTCATTTGATGCTTTGCTCTTAAAATTAACCTAGCCTAGTTTGGCCAGCAAAATGGCTCAGTGAGTAAAGGCTCTTGCTGCTAAACCTAATAACGAGTTCAGTTCCCAGAACCACATGATAGAAAGAGAGAACCAACTCCTGAGCACTGTCCTCTGATATTTGACTCTGTACATATGACTTGGCATACGTGAGAAAACACCTGGTTAGGCATGATGAGTAATAGCACTCACTTAGCTGAGGCAAAGAGATTTTAATTTCAAGACCAGTCTACGGTACAGACTGAGATCCTGTCTCAAAAAAATAAGATAAAATGAGAAAGAGAGAGAGAGTAAAAGAAATAAAGGAGGAAAGAAAGGAAGAGACAATAGAGTGGGGGAAAACTTTTGTAATAATTTTCAAAGTCATATCCTATTATTTAAAAATATAAACTTAAAGGTTCAATAGCATTCCATTTATAGAGGTAACAACACATTTAATCATTTTCCAGTTGTGGAACCTAATTTCTTTAAAGTTTGACACTTTATTATTAAATTATTATAAACTTCTAGTGGAAGCGTTGGATCCATTTATAATCATTATCACACTATGTTTGCTGATTTATTATTATTATTATTATCATCATTATTATTATTATTGAGGCAGGGTTTCTCTGTGTAGCCTTGGCTGTCCTAAAACTCACTCTATAGACCAGGCTGGCCTCAAACTAAGATCTGCCTGCCTCTGCCTCCTGAGTGCTGGAAGTAAAGGTGGGTACACCACCTATTGGCTATTGGTCATTTTATGTTCTTGCTGTTTGATTGTTGCATTCTGATCTCTTATAATACAAAATATAATTGCTTCTCTCTCAAATAATTACAGGTTTTAAGTTCCCATTTTACTCTGCTAATAATTAAATTTTTGAAAAATTATTCATTTCCTTCATCAGCATCATGAATGAAATGTTATCTTTGATATCACCCTTTGTAGTTCAAACTTTTAACACATTAGCATTCCATTTTATATAGTTATAACTGAATAGCACCCAGTGAGTAATATATAAAGCACAGGCATGTGTTCAGCTCATCAATCTGAAGGCTGAACAGTCTGAGAGTATGATGCCTGTATAGGCTACTTTTCCCATTGCTACGACTAATACTTGACAAGGGCAACTTAAGGAAAGAAGATTTTGGCTCACAGCTTTAGGGTACAATGCTTCCTGGCAAAGAAGTAATGGCACAATGCTGCTGTTTTCCCTACTACCACCAAAACTCTCATATCTGTTTGCACACACCCACACACACACACACAGTTGCATGTTCACAATTTATTTATACACATGTATGTTGAGGCCAAGAAGTCAACATTGTGTCTTACTCGATTGCGCTCTACCTTATTATAAAAAAAATAAAAAACATTTAATTTTATTTTATGTCAAGGAGAGTTTTGTCCACATGTATATCTGTATGTACAAGCCTGGTGCCCATGAAGGCCATAGAGGGTGTTGGATCTCCTGGATCAGGAGTTACTGATAGTTGTTAGCTGTCATTTAGGTGCTGGGAGTTGAACCCATATTGTTTGCAAGACCTTTAAGTACTCTTTAACCACTGAGTCTTATCTCTAGCCCTTTTGAGACTGAACTCACCAATTCTGCCAGACTGACTGGCCAGCAAGCCCCAAGGACTTACTGTCTCTGACTCCTTAGTGCTGGGATGGAAAGCATAATCAGTTTTTTTCTGTGGGTGTTGGGAATCAAAAATCAGGTCTTTACATGTATAGGGCAAGCCTTTTACAAACTGAAAGTCTCCCCAACCCTTCGTTGCTCTGTTAGTTCAGTCCAGAACCCTAGTCCTTTGAATGTTACCATATTTAAGGTAAGTCCTCCCTTTTCATTTAAATATTCTTGGAAACATCGTCACTGTCAGATCCAGAGGTATGTCCCTATGGTGATTCTGAATCTTCTCACCTTAACAATGAAGCTTGCACATCAGAGTCCCAGTATCTGCTCTGCTTTATCCGTGTTGTAACACAACAATGGAAACATAGGAGCTCTGTCTAGAAAACATTTTAATCCAAAGCCACTCCATCTATATGTTCCATGAATTCATTGATCCAGAGCCATCATGACCCCATCATCTTTCACAGGTCCCACCTTAATTCATATTCCAACACATGAAACTTGAGGAATACCTACAAATCACAGCATGCTTTTCCTTCTTGCTCCTTTCCTTACCCTATTCTACATAGCACATCTTTAAGAATAATCTGGGACTCCATATGTGATTATTTTACCATTGGTATCATGTTTCCCTAGTCATGAGTTCCTTTTCTCTTTTACATTATTTGTCCAGTGAAAGCAACAGCATTATTTTTGCCCTTCATTGTTTTGCTTATTGATTTACTATTGATACTTATTTTATAACACAATTTCATACTTGTTTTCTTTCTTCTGATCCCATGCTGCAGCTCATCTACAAGTAGTTGAAGAACAGAAAATAAAAGACTCGATATCTGAGACTGTCTTTCCTCTCAATGGGCAGTCATTTCATTTGCTCAAAATCTGTAGATTTTTTTTCTATTGTTTTCAGATATTTAATTCTATGATGGAGAATGTTTTTGACTTATTTTATTAATTCTTAGGTACCCTGGGTACTTCAAGTATCGCAGAAATATATGTGATGTTCCGTAATCTCACACTATCAGAAATTGTCTTACAAATTTCATTATTGCACACACTTCAACTGTTGTGTCTGTGGTGTTCTATGCCCCTCAGTTCTGATAGAGTAAAGGCTTAAGCTCTATGGCCATGCCTTCTCTCTGTTCTTATGATGTCCACCCCTTGATGCTTTTTTCTGTGAGCTTAATTTATCATTATGACTGTGCTGTACATTATCCTCCTGAACTATGTAACTGTGCGTTGGGACAGTGATATGCAAGTGTTCTCTGGGCAGTGCTAAAAATGTTCCCATTCCCCCTTGAGACCAGGCCTTGAGTTTCCACCTGACCTCAAACAGTAGTCAAGTAAGTAGGCCCTGTCACAGAGACAAGCTGACCATGGGACTCACTAGGCCTACTTTGGTTACTGTTTGACATTTTGTGTAAAAGAGAAAAGAGAGATACAGAGACAAAGACAGAGAGACAGAGACAGTGACAGAGACAGAGACATAGAGAAAGAGATTATTTTATAACCTCTGATGCTTGGTCTAGTATTCCAATAGACAGACAGAGGGACAGAAGGGAGAAAAGAAGGATGGATAGATGGATGAATAAATGAATCAAAAAGTGGTCAGAGAGATAGGTGGGCTGATATATGGTGAGAGGAATTGTAGAAGGATGGGTGTGTGAAAGGAGGAAGGAGGGGGGTAGAAGGGTGGCCAGAAGAGGCTGGTTGGGGAAAGGAGGGTGACAGAAGCACAGTTGCAGAGACATGAATCTCATATCTCCTCACTGACCTGATGCTGAGGTCTGGCCTCCCACAGGGAGTTTCCTGGTCCCCTGGTCATGCTCATTGTAGAGGGGATGCTGCTCTTGTACCTGGAGCTGGCTGTGGGGCAGCGCATGCGGCAAGGCAGCATCGGTGCCTGGAGGTGCCCCTACCTCAGTGGTGTCGGTATGTGGGACCCTTCTCAGATCCTCTGACAGAGATTTTGTGGGTTTCTGAGCATCACTGGTATGCATGGGCTGGACCTGTGACTGGATGAACCAACTCCCAAAGAGGGCTACCATGGAGCTCGGGCAGAGAGGGCCCTGGATTCTGGCCCTCACATGGTACCCCATCCCACCCCCCAATGAAACTTCCACCTTAGGGCATCTCCACTCTGGACCTCAGCTTGATATTCTCTGACTGGCTGGACATAGCATTCATTTCGTCCCAGCTACCTATCCTCTGGGGATGTACACAAATGTCACCCCCTGCTTAATGTGTGCCTGGTGCTGAACATGGCATGCACGAGTGTGAGGTCATTTCATCTTCACCACACCACTTAGGGGCGTTGGGGCATCATAGTGATACCTGGATGCACAAGCCAAGCATCTATGTGAACATACCAGGTGTGGCCTACTGCACCCTTCCAGAGTGACCTTCAGTCACTGTCCCCTGGCACCTCCATGATGTGATTCTCCTAGTTTGTAAAAGACCAGGATCTAGAGCCATCAGAGTTCATACATGTTCTGTGTACTTTTCATGTCCAAGAAAGGGAAGCAGACAGGAAGCCTGAGCCATTGTTTAGGAATGAGGAAGGGTCCACCTGATGTGACCTCCTGCATCTTTGGAAGAAATATGTCCGGGGTATTAGAACTCATCATCTTCAAACTGCCTCCTCATGATGAAGAGCTATGAAGGCCATCAGAGTGTGCTGAGGCAGCAATGTATGCTGTATATTGGAAAACAGGGGAGGCTGCCTGGCCCCTTGGGCACTGACATGCACTTACTGGCCTGAGTTCCCAGTGGAGTGGGAGGAGTTGCTCTGTAATGCTATTGATACCTGTATAGTCTGCCACATGCAAAGTCAACAACTTACAACTCTTCTGGTTATGTGTGGGATGACAAAGGTTGACAACACTCCCAAGTAAACTCACTTTAGAGCAACCTAATGGCAAACTCTCACTTCTCACAGTGATACCCTCTGTGGGACCTCATAGATCAGACCAGGCTGGGGGTAAGTGTTGTCTGTCTGTCACACTCCTGCCACATGGATGGGGCTGGCTCCAGGAACTCCACCTCCAAAAGGAGCAAGTTCACATCAGGCATGTAGTTGGCCCTTCTCCATAGCTCTGCTGGGTAGTTTTGGGAAAGCTCTGAGCTTTAGTTTGCTCTTTGGAAGGAGGATAATGCTTTTGTGTGAACTAACTGCACACAAAATACTGAGCCCAGGACCTGACACTTAGATGTCAAAAAACCAATACTGATCTACCATCTCAGATGATCAGAGTTGAGGGGTAGTAATTCTCAAGAAGATGTCATAGGTGTAGTATCAGGTCTAATGAAAGCCTAAAGGAAGAGTGTTCTTGTTTGGGGATGTCACCATAGTTGTGTCATTCAAGTCCCACTGGTTAAATTACACACATCTGATCTTCAGCATGGCCCTCTGCTTTGCTCACAGGTGTTGCTAGTGTGGTGGTCTCCTCCTTCCTCTCAATGTACTACAACGTCATCAATGCCTGGGGCTTCTGGTATCTCTTCCATTCCTTCCAGGTAAGCCAACCTCTGGTCAGAGCAAAAGCAAAAAGGGTAGAAAATGCAGGTCCACTCACCAAGTGGGGAGCTGGTAGAGGATGAGAACGCCAGCCTGTGGGAACCCTCTCAGTGATGGGGGAGCGTGATGGGAGCCACAAGCCAAGCAGGGATGACAGAATCTGGATCCACTACTTGTCACAATGTAAGCCAAACTATGCACTGTGTGTGTGTGCGTGCACATGCGTGTGTGTTTTCATGTGCGTACACACATGTGCACACTCATTTCTGAGGAGCAGGTCCACAGCACTCATTGGAATATCTACAGGAATATTTTCAATGACAAGCATTTTAAACAGTGCATTATCTAAATTCTTGTTACTGATATTCTGGAAGGGTCTAGGCTTTGGGGAAAATAAATAAATGCCACAATTCCACACTGAGCGCTGGAATGTTCCTCTTCACCAGTCATATTCTATCCCACCCCACCCCCCATCTTCATCCTTTTTACTCTCAGAGACTCTAATCCCACTGCCTCCATATCAGCCTCTTTCCAGATGGAAAAAAGAAGAGAAGGACCCAGGAATTACCACTCTAATATCCATGCATTCCATACTTCACAAAAATCCCCCCCTTACCTCTGCAGTAAATCCTCTCCCAAGGTCATAGGATAATGACACAGCAGACCTTCACTTGGACGTCTATGGGCCATGCAGGTCCCCGGAACATATAAATCTACACTGGCATGGCCATATACACGACATAAGAGCTTTTGTTCAATCCCACGAGCTACAAGTGACTCTACAGGACTCTACTTTATGGGAGGGTGTCGTCCTTCTTAGCGGGTACCTTTAGCCAAGCAAATGTAAGGACCCTATCTTTACCTTCTGATGCAGATGAAGGGAGAAGAAAACTGAAAATCTCTCAGTTGTTCCATGCCCTAGAGCTTCTTCATGTAGCATGTTCATTGGCAGGAATATTAAAAAACAAAAAATAAAAACAAAAACAAACAAACAAACAAACAAAAAAAAACCTGAAGTCAAGCTCATCTCAAGCAAAGGACCCCAGAGGTATCCTCAGATTTGCAGCCAAATATGTGAAACAGTGTGAGTTAGAGTGGCCTCAGCAGAGGGCCCAGAGAATGTCGGCTAGGCAACTGAGCTTAGAGGGCTTCTGTTTCTTAGCTGGGACCTGCTGCTGGTTCCATCAGATACCACAGTGTCTCCCTCCTGTGGCCTGTCCATCCAAATGGGCTCACTGTTCAAGATTCTAACTCAAGTACGTTCACAGCTTTGTTTTTAAATTATTTTTAAAGTTTATCTTATTTATTTTATGTATATGGGTGTTTCACCTGAATGTCTATGTACAACATGCATGCCTGGTGCCTGCAGAGGCCAGGAGAGCGTGTCAAATTCCCTGGGACTAGAGTTACAGAAGGGGAGCCATCCTATAGTTACTGGGACTCTAACCTGGGGAAAAACAGCCAGTACCCTTAACTAGTGAGCCATCTCTCCAGCCCTACAACTGGTTTTGAACAGGGTAGCTACAAGGATCTGGAAAGACTAGGCCAGGAAGCCTCTGATCCACTGTACTCTGTTGTTTCTGCGCAAGCCAGGCTAGCCCATATTTTCAGGACAAGGTGTGAAGCCTCCTGTCAAAGATGCTTCCTATCATCCCACCAAGCCCTTGGCCTTTCCCTTGACTCTCTGTTGATTCTCACTTCATTCCAAAGGATCCCCTGCTGTGGTCTGTCTGCCCACTGAATGGTAACCGCACAGGCTACGATGAGGAGTATGAAAAGGCTTCGTCAATGCAGTACTTCTGGTGCAGGAAAACACTCAACATCTCACCATCCATCCAGGAGAATGGAGGAGTGCAGTGGGAGCCAGCACTGTGCCTCATCCTGGCCTGGCTGATGGTGTATCTGTGCATCCTGAGGGGCACTGAGTCAACCAGCAAGGTGTGCTAGGGAGTGTGATGGGACTGAATCTGGTCCATGCTAGAGCTGTCTCTTGCTGTCCAGAGTAGAGGCTCAGTGGGTCAGAAGGCATGGATGGTGTTATTGGCATGTCCCTGTACTAGCTGACAGTGGAGGGTGTCAGAAGTGATTAAAGTTGTAGCACTGAATCTGAAATGACAGGCCCCAGCCAGTTCTCACACTCACCTGTACCAGGTCATTTCATGGAGATATTCAAACACCCTGCTATTCAGTCCTTTCACCTCAAATGCCAGAGCTATTATTCTGTGGAGGGAACCTCAACATCAGACAAGCAAGCCTCTGGGGACTTTATTGTGTAGTTGGATTTGGGGTCCCATTTCAAAGTGCTTTCAGGAAATCAATACTACCCAGAACTGTTGGGTTCTCCCTTGGTTTTTTGTTTTGTTTTGTTTTGTTTTGTTTTGTTCTGTTGTGTGGTATGGGGTTTTAGTTCTTGTTTTGGCTTTTATTTTTAAAGTGTCTCCTTATGTACTTCAGGCTGGCATGAAACTGGCTGAACGGCCCAAGTTGGCCTCAAACTCAGTGATCCTCCTGACTCAGCCTTCTGAGTGTTGGGATTTTAGGCCACAGATATGCCAAAATACCCAGCAAAGGCCTTTTATTTGCCTAAGCTCGTTCTTTCTGTTGAAATGCCCAGGTTTCCATTCATCCTAGGGCTGGAGTATCTGCTGTATTTCCATCACCCATACCTGTTTCAAGCTGGTGTGAATGCTCCATACTCAGCTATTCAGCAAAGCAAATCCATAGTTGATCACGGTGTCTTATTCTTGTAACAGCCCCTCAGAGTAGATACATGAGGTCACTCCCAAAAGGCTTAGATAGGCAAAGTATTCTTCACAAAATCACAGCCAGGGACTGCACACTCAGGACATAGACCAGATTTACTCCAAGCTCTTCCCATCCTATTGGTGAAATGCAGCATGAATGTTCTCTTCACATCTTTTGTGACTTAGTCATTTACAATTTGTCTTCTTCTGAGAATCCCATGAGACCCCTAGATCTCACTCTTCTGATCACCTGCCTGCCTTCTCCAGTACTGACATGTTTGTTTGCTTTTGTTCTTTCATGAGGCATCAAGCTTAGAACAACCTATGTCATTGAGATATTGCATGACAACACCAATGTTGTGCCTGGCGTGACATTTCACATTGTTTTCTAAGTCCCCATAGTGGCCAGCCCCACATAGTCATCTTAGCCCCACAGCACTTTGCCTCACAGCTGAGCATAAGAATCAGGGTGTTCTTTCTCAGCTGAGCTCAGACCTTGCAGCATCTTCTCTGTCCCAACCTAGACCAAGCATGATCCAAAAGATCTAAGGGCGATGTCTGTACCCTTGAATATTAAAGCAGTCCTTTCCTCTCCAGGCCTCTTATAGTTGTGAAAATAAGTAGAGTCTGGACATTATTCTCCTCTGAAGTTTTACTTACTGGTCAGTGTTATTTCTCCTGATAGGTTAAGCTAAAGCTAGATCACATATCCAGCCATCCTTCCCACAAGAAAAAGAAGGAAGCCACTTTGTGAGGACTCTAGAAAGCCCATAAGAAACACGGACCACTGGCGGGGTAGGGGGAAGTCCAGAGCTTTCCCCAAATGTCTTCTAAGTGCCCAGTGTTATGGACCGGGATCAGACCTCCACCATGCCCCTGAATTTCTTTCACATCACTGGCAAAAAGACTCTTATCCATTTGCATCTCACCTGGTTTGACATATTAGATATTTGGGTAAATTCACTAACCCCCTAAATGTGTAAGCAGCCATGGTAAACATATATCCCACTTTCTCAGTGTCCTTCTGACAGTCTTAGAAGTTCATGAAGTATGGTGCCATGCCAAGGACGAAATGGAAGTCTGAGATTAATTCAAGCATATCAAGATATGGGTTACTAGCTGGGTTTCTCAGAGGTGGATCCAACCTAAAAGAAGATTGATAAAACAAAACCAACCTTGTGAAAAGTTTTGTTTCGTTTTGTTTTTGTCTATGAATCTAGGCAAAATCCCTTACAGTTTTATGCCCATGATACATTGTTTTTAAATTTTATTTATTAACATAATATCCGTGCATGCTTATGAAGGGCCTGATGCTTTGATACAAGTATAAAACACATAGCAGCTAGACCAATGCCACTAACATTTCCTTCTCCTCATACATGAATTATATATACATTTTTTTACTCTTCTAGTTATTTTTATGTATCATGGATTCTTGTAGATTAGAGTTACCTATAGTGCTGGGCAAAGAAGCAATGATTTCTGCTTCTAATTCCTGTATTTTGGTTACTCTTGTCTAACCTCTGTCTTCCCTTGCTGCCTTTCCCATCTTCTTGGAGGTTCATTTACCACTTTCTACAAATGAGTGCAAAAAATGCATTATTTGTCTATGATTTGTTTTATTTACCATGATGCCTGAACTTGTCTATACCTTTACATGTGACAAGATTTCATTCTTTTTATGGCTAAGTAGTATTCCTTTGTGGATACATACCATGTGATTTCTATATGTTCACTTTCCATGGATGGTTTTATATCCTAGATTTTTTTTAAAGGAATATCACAGTAAAAATGAGAGTGCTGCTATATCCTTGACACATGGCTTTTAAGATCCCTTTGCAATAATATCTATTTGTGGTTTTTATTTGTATTCCCTTGAAGATTAATGATGCTTAATTTTTGTTCATATATTTGCTGGCTATTTGTGTCTTAACTTTTTAGATGTATTTATTTTATTTGACACATATGAGTATTTTGCTTGCATGTGTATGTGTATGCCACATGTATGTCTGACACTCGCAGGGATAAGAAGAGGGCTATGACAGTGGTTATGAGTTGCCAGGTGGGTGCTGGAAACTGAACCCAGGTCCTCTGCAGGAACAGCAGGCGCTCTTAACCACTGAGCCAACCCTAAAGTCCCCTCATGTCTTTTTAAATAAATGTCTATGTAGCCCATTTCTTTGCCCATTTTTTAAGGTGGACTCTTTGCTCTCCAGTTGTTTGAGCTCTGAATAAAAAGAATTAAGGGAATGAGAGGTATTGGCAATAAAACTGTGAAAATATTAATGAAAGATGTCAAGATGACTCCAGGAAAGGAAAGATACTCTATGGAGCAGAAGATGTCCTAGTTAATTTTCTGTTCCTGTGAAGAGACACTATGTTCTATGTACTCTGTACTCTGTACTATGTACTATGTACTCTGTACTATGCTTATCAAAAAGAAGAATTTAATTGAGACTTTGCTTACAGTTTCTTTGAGTCTATGATTGTGGCAGGAAGTGTGGCAGCAGGCAGGCAGGAAGAATGCCTGCTTATATCTAATCCACAGGCAAGAGGCAGAGGGAGGGGAAGGGTGAATGGAGAAGGAGGAGGAGGTAGGAGATGGGAGAAGAAAGAGAGAGATTGGGTTCAACCTGGGCTCCCTCAGTGGCATACGCACTCCCTTCAACAAGGCCACTTCTACTAACCTTCTAAAATAGTTCTACCCACTGTGAACCAAGGGCTCAAATATATGAGCCTGTGGGGGCCATTCTCATTCAAACCATCACAGAGTTGGTATTATTATTATTATTATTATTATTATTATTATTATAAAGTGTACATACTACCCAAGACAGTTTACAGATCCAGTTCAATCCTTACCAATAATAATATTCATAGAATCAGAAAAAAAATCTTAAAATCTACATGACACTATTGAATAAAAGAACGAAACTGAAGTCATATTAATACCTGATTTTAAGTCTGTCTACAATGTGTCTGGTATTGGCTTGAGAAAAGACAAGGAGACAAGTAGAACATAGTAGAGTACCTGGATAACCACATATTTCTGTCAAAGACACCACGAGAATACATTGGAAAGCCATCAAATCAATTGCTGATGCTAGATCCACATCTCACATGCTGTACAAAAGTCCAAAGTATGAAAAGTCTAAGGCGAAACACTTGAAGACTTAGATTTTTGTGTACCTATGTTTTGAGATAAGACCCGAAAACTTGCAACAAAGTAAAAACCAGTAGGATTACATCAAAGAAAGAACTTTCTGTGCAATAAAAGAAATAGTCAATATCATGAAGAAAATATTTAGGAACTCACACACACATTCACAGAGTAAGGGGGAGACTTAAATAAATAATATTGTTTTGTTAGCAGTTTTACAAAGTAATGACAATTTTAAAATAGTAAATACATAAAAACCAAATTTAATTATGGCATTTTAATACATAAGTATCATTGCTCCTTATTCTTATTCACCCTCTCTCTATCCTCCCTCTTTACCCCTTCTTTCTGGTATAATTTAGAGGGAAAATACATGTTTGAGGTGTAAGAATAGAGGAATTACTATAAAAGTGCAAAAACAATAGTCATAAAAAGCTGCTCAAGTACGATGATTGTGGTTGATACATTGTTTATGAACTAATAAAGCAATGAAGATCAGAGAAGCAAAGCATCTAGGCTACCAGAGAGCTCGGTCCTGTACCAGGGCTGGAGAGATATTATCCATAGCAAGCTGGAGACAAATTGCCAAGACTAAATCCTTAATGCCCTGCTCCTATCTTATATATTAGTGCTGGGGTTTAAAGCTGTGAGCTCTGTTTCTCTTTTAGACTGATTCACTTCTCATGTAGCCCTGGATGGCCTTGTAAATCTAACATTAAGTATTTTTGGTTTTTATGTTTTCTTACTCTCTGTTGTTGACTGTGGCCTTCTCTTGTGGCTCACCTTTTAGTTAAACTCTGTAGGGATATGGAAGAGTGTTATCTCTCCCTCCGTCTTTGTTCCAGGGGATTGGGTTTTGATTTAGGAACATGCTTTCTCTCATTCACCTAACTCTGTCAGATAATTTCCTTTGTGAATGTCTTTGCATATCTTCTGTTACATTGCTATTGTAAATAGTGTCTTTCTCCTTATTTCTACGGTTGTTTATGTTGGTGGCAGAAGAAACAAACATTTTTTTTATGTTAGTCTTGTAC